AGTTAATAAATAATAGTTAGTGCCAATAATTAATTATATTTGAATTGAAATATTGAATCAAATATAAAATGAATTATAAAATTTGATTAAATAACATTTTCAACTTTCTAATTATATTTTTATTATATATATACTAGATGAATTTTGTAAATAATATGATAAAAATATTTTTTAGATCTAAAAAGATATCTGATAAATTTTATATAGTTGTATTATTATTCTCATTGTATTATTATCATTTTAATAAAGTTATATATTCAATACAAAATAGAATTCAAAGCTAATAATTATAATAATTTTACAAGTATTGCTTTGCTAATAGTTAATACTAACTAAATTTTTGTATATATTAAAGTATTTATATTGATAATCAATAATATTATATTATTAGTTATGAAAAGAGAATAAAAATAGTTGATTTATCTTCTATAAAAAATAAATTTTGGAATAAAGAAGTTTTTCTTCTAGAAATAAAAAAAAGAGAATTTCAATTTTATAAAGAAAAAAAGATAAATTTTACATTTACAAAGAGAGCACCAAAATATGTTAGCAATATATAATAATAGTTATTTTACTTTAATATTAATAATTATATAAGAATATAAAAGAGAGTAAATTAAAATAAAATAAAATTAGTAAAAGCAAAGATAAATATCTAATATCTATATTAATTTATAAAAATTTTGTTAAATAATTTTATATATAAAGAAATAAAAAGATTTGAGAGAGTAAAATAATTAAAAAAAACTATATTAATTAATAAAATATTAGTTGTAGAATTATTATATATACATCTACTAATATTAAATAAAAATACTAATATTAATCAAAATAATAAAAATACTAATAAACTAATATTCTTATTTAAATTTAGAATTAAAATACTTAACTATATCAAAATAATATAAATACTAAAAAATTACTTATTTAAGTTGCAATGTATATACAACTAATTAAAATAATATTAAAAATAATAAAATCAAATATCGATATTTAATAACAAATTAATTATTTTATAGAATATGTTCTTAATATAATAATTATAAATAATTTTTAACATGATTTTAACTTATTTTATCAATTATTTTGAATTAGATTCAAAAATAAAGAATAAATTTAGTATTTAATACAAGAATTAATATTGTAAATTAAATTATATTTATTAAGATTGGAAAAATATAAAAGAATATATATTAAGATAGCACTCATATTTATACAAAAATTTTGTTTTCTCATTATAAATATTGTTTTTATACAAATTTGTTAATACAAAATAAGAATATTTACCAGTTCAGATTAATTTATATATACTAAAAAGTATTATACCCATATTAAATAAAGATAGAAAAAGAGTAAAAAAGAGTATAAATAAATATAAAAAAATTAAAAAAAGATATTATATGAAATATAAAAAATCAAAAAGAATATAAAAAGATAAATATTAATATAAATAGATAAAATATAATAAGTAATTTAATAAAAATAAAAGATAATTATATAATTATTTATAAATTATTATTTTTTTTTAATATTTTAATTTTTTATTATTTTTGATACATTCTTTAATTAACAATTTTTACTAAAATTCATAATATTATATTATCTTAATCTTGAAATGCTTTATATAAATACAAAAAATTAGTATTTCAAATTCTTTTTATTATTTGTTTTCTTATTATTAATACTACTTTTTCATTTTTTTAATATTTACTCTTTTATAATTCTTTTATATTATTATTATATCTTTGAATATCACAATTTTCATAGAAATTAACATAAAACTTAAATATTTTTCTTTTTTCTTAATATTTGTTTATTATTTAATTCTCTCTTCCATTCAGGTTCAAGTTTACAAGCTAATTTAATGATTATTAAACAAATTTATATGTATTATTATATTATCTTTATTTTTATTAGCTAAATCAATAATTATTTACTATATTTAAAGTTTTTGGTCAATAAAATAGCTAATAAAATAAAAATAGTATGACAAATATATTATTTAATATTAATATATAAATTCATCTTAAAAAGAATTTTATATATTGTATAATATTTCACAAAAACTTTGTGAACTTTAAAATAAAAGCTCTTAAATATCTTTTACTATATTAAAACTTGATATTGTAACCAAATTTTCATTCAAAGTTCATGAATAAAATTTGGTTTATATTTCTTATAAAATATAAATAATTATTATATTATAAATGATCATCCTAATTTTTTATCACCTCTTTGTATATTTACATGTAGGGCTGTTAAAAGTTTAGTTTGATTAGCTCCAGAAATTGAGTCTTAATTGAAGTTCAGTCTAAAAGATAGCTCAAGTACAGTTATGTGACACATAATTATCATTTGCGTGTACCTATAAATAGTTATTGTAACAAACCAACTCTTCAAGTATATTGAGACTCTTGTTGTCTCCTCAAGAAGTCTGTTTCTTTCAAGCTTAAGAGTGTTCTTTGCCACAAAGAAGGTTTGTTCGCAAGAAATACTTTTTGTTTGTAATCTGCAACCATTAAAGCTACGATTGGAAAGTGAAGAGCATTAGCTTTCCACCACAAAAATAGATCAGTATTTGGCTCTGGAGGTTCAATTAATCGTGAAAATCATAAACAGAAGCAGATTGCGTTTATTTTTAATTAGGTTTTATTGTGGGTTATATTACTAATGATTACATCTTATTTTGAGACTCTTCTCCAAGATTATTATCACTTTCGACAAAACTTGGAACATCTTCAAAAGAAATTTCAGCAAATGAAATTATGAAAACTGTAGCTTGCAGAAGACGTGATAATTGACATAAAGAAATAGGAAAAGAAGGTAGAATACTTTAATAGTTTAAAATTCTTAAATACAACTACTTTATCATTTTTTCCAGAGGTTTTTGTTGAATCATCTTGACAATGATATCTGATAAGATAAATAATCTTACCTGGATGCCTTTTGTTTTCCCAGAGGTTTTTGTTGAACCGTTTTGGCAATGATCGTTCTGTATATGTTATCGTTAAAATTGATTTGCATTATTTGTTTGCGTTCATTATAAAAGCAGCGTCATTTATGTCAATTCATTTGTTGAAAAAACAATTGGCATGTGTGTGTATATACATGTATATGGTTACTCAAATCTAGCATCTGACTTATCATGTGACTATTGGAAGACAAAACTCAGACGCAAAACAACTCAGTCCAAACCGACCCAAAGACCGACTCACATGAGCTTTTTAACAGCCCTATGTACATGTATATCGATAATAATTTCGATTATATTGATATCAGTCAATTTGACAGATTGACAAACTTATTGTTATCGTTATATAATGAACATATGACCTGTGATTAAGTCATCCAGATCATTCATGTCGCATTCAGTTATATGCTAGCGCTCCTGTAAATGTAAGAAACTATTTTATTACTTCATCATTATCGGAAATTGTCGACATGATTTATGAGTTCTATACAATCATAATTACTTTGACTGACCAGTTCATTGTACGTATAATAGATCAAAACTCTCAAAAAAAGACAACTTTATATTAATACTACTCAGCAATACTAACACCAAGCAAATATCCAGGGTTGGCATTTTGGCCGATGATTATCGGCCAAATTACCAAAGAAAGAAATTAAATTACTATATTTGGAAATTTTGGCTGCGATCTGTCCAAATATTGGCCAAAATGCCAACCCTGCAAATATCTGCTAAATAAATAAATTATACTATTGATTGACTCGAATACTGTAAATGATATTGTACAAAATCTTTATATATGGAACAGTAGAACCAAGAAATTTGATAAATATCAATTTTGAAACAACTGTTTTATTGCACACGAAGGCAATAGTCATCTTTAATGTTAGAAGATTGTCAGCTTTATTATGTTGAATCAAAAAATGCATTAATATTCTCTTCTCTCAACCACTATAAAATATAGCTATAAAAAAAGAAACAAGTAAAATCCATTCCGTATACATAACCACGTTTCAGGTATGGGTTTTTAACACGGACATGGCACGAATTTAACAATCTGTGCTTATACGTGTGGCTCCGTGCTAAAAAAAAAAAGTGTACCAAAAACGTGTTTATGGATACGAAATTTGTCGCGCGTTGCAGCGGCACCACTCAAAGAATTTTTGGAAGTCAAAAAGGTAAACAGTTTGTCCCCGCAAATTTTTTGGTAGACGATCAAATCAATAAAGAAGTTTATAAAAAACAAGATTCGGGATGCTTTTGATAAATTCGTTGTTCAGTTATAAATAGTCAGCGCATTATATCAAAAGTATTGGGTGTAATTCGAAATTTCAGTGTTTATATAAATACGAGCTCTTGAATTGAATTCATTTTACGCTAAAATTGTAAAAACTGACTTTTTATATCTTTTGAAAAAGTCCGTTCTTTTCACAAACACATAAATTTTCATACTGTACTCCAAAATTTTTTACATATGTAAGTATTGAAAAAATCCCATATGATCTACTAATAACGATAACGTTAACGTTAATGTTAATTGTTATACAGTCTGACCTCTATATAATCACACCATCGGTAAAAAAATAAATAGGTGATTATAAAGAGATTGTAACTATATAGAGGTTTTTTATATACGTAGCATTATTAAGTACGTATTGGTTCTAAAGGGATGTGACTAAAAAAACCCTGTGATAATAGAGAGGTTTTTTTACATAGCATTAATTAGTGCTTATCGTTATCGTTATAGAGGTTTTTATATGATGTGACTATATAGGGGGTGACTATAGAGGTCAGACTGTACATGTACGATGCAAATTATTTCTTTTTATATCGATAGGTTTTATTTCACATGACGATATCAATAACGATAACGGTTTACAATAACAACTCGAATTGTTGAGTGATGTATTTGTCTAATATAAAATGCACGAGTTAAAGATGACACATTAAAATAATGAATGAATCACCCGGTCACCCGCATTAAATCGGTTTAACCCGGATCAAAATTTTGCGTCTATTAGTATTAATGCTAGCACATGTCCGTATCTGCTATTTCATCGTCCGTGTACAATACCAAAAGTTTGACCCGAAATAACCCGATTTTAAAAATGATGCAGACACCCGAGTGAAGAATTAAGAGACAATTCAAAAAACAATAAATACCATCCGGCAGCTTGTATAGAGAGTTAATCGAAGTGATATCATCAACTCCTAGAAAAATCGTTTAAATTAGTTTATTTCCGAAATTGTTATATAAATATATAAAAATAAACGAAGAAAATTACCTGCTGCTTCGATAATTTTCGAGATTGATCTACTTTTGTACACTGCGCCTTTGTGAATTTCAGATGCTTTCTCTACTTTTCTATTTTCTATATTTTCTTCAAATTCATTTCGAAGAGCACGATAATCCCATTCTCCAATTATATGTTGAATCTCTTTTGCTGTTGGCCGTTTCGATGGATCCGAATCCCAACAACAAGCCATTAGCTCGCGATAATACTTCGGCATGTCATCAGGAATTTCTGGCCGAATTCCGTCGCAAATCTCAAAGATGAGTGCGATATCATGATTACAGCTCGTAAATGGGCGCTCTCCATTCCAAATTTCCCACATAATCATTCCAAAGGAATAAATATCGCTAGCCGTCGTGTATTTTCTCGTTTGCAGGACTTCAGGTGCAACGTATGGAATTATACCAAAGACTTCATCATCGATAATTTCTGAAGTCTTTCTGCACCTCCCAAAATCTGTTATATACAACAAATATAAGCTGCATAAAATATTCCCACTATGCAAATCACGATGAACATATTTACGATCATGTAAAGTTTGTAATCCGATAGTTAAATTAAGTAAATTTTCCTTTAAATAAAATATATTTTCGTTTTTGATTAGATTATATAGTGAACCATCTTCATAAAAGCGAAGGACTAGAATATAGTTTTTAGTTTCTGGATCTCTGGAAATTCCAAATGTTCTCGCAATATTATCGAAGTGGCTATGGATAACTGCAGATTTTATCTACATAATAGTTAAAATTCCTTAACAAAATTAAGTAGATGATTTAAAGTCAATATTTACTTACTTCTTGAATAATATCCAAATTTGCATCACTTGATTTGAATAAAGTCTTCAGTGCAACAAGGCTTGGTCCTGCTCGAACCAATTTTCTTTGCTTTTTGTTGAAATCAATTATATATCCCGAATTCCAAATTGCCTTTGATACACTGCCAAAACCTCCCTCATCAATTAATTCTATTTCACTAAATTCTTCGTAGGCAATCCACTCAAGGAAAGCACTAAATCTATAAATTTCAACTTGAGATTCTTTAATGATTTTATCAATTTTATTATTGTTGCTTGACCATGGAGGGAGCTCACAAGTAGGGCAAAATTGACAATAAATATTCCATTTTTCATGACAGTTTGGGCAATTTTCTTTCTTTTCTTTGTTATTTGAAAAAATCATTATACGAGTAAAAAATTGCACGATAATTTTTTAATTATTATTAATCAATTTAGTCTACAATTTATACCATTTGTAACCATTACATTTTGGAGAATCTCTTTCATTGCTTCGTTATTTGAAAGACATTACTCGAATAAAGGTCAAAAGAAATGATAAATATATAATGCTATAATGTTGTAAATTTGATAATGGACATTAAATTGATTCAGCTGTCAATTGTTGTCTGAGAATAAAGCATATACATTTACGCTTTAATGCAATAACGATAATAATGTGGTAGTTCGTATCTAGCAATTACGTATATGCAAAATGTACTAGCGCTAGTATATTTAAATTTTTATTGTTATCTAAATTTTAACGAACGAACATAAATATTTGTCTGCTATTTATATACATATCTATATACATGCATATTCAATCTAATACGTGTACGTTTAAGACAAAAAATTGTGATTACGTATTAATTTCTGGCCAGCATTATACATGTAAATCCATTTATAATGAAAGTATATCGATATACCTATAATCTGTCATTTTGAAAAAGTATATCGATATACGCATCTATCATTTTGATATCGATATGTAATTTACTAGTATTTATTGGGCAAAGATCGTGATTAATGATTACATCTATGACGATTTGCTCGATATACCATTGCTATGTATGGTTCAATACATGTATGAAGTACATGTATTAACTAACTATAAAAAACGAGGACCCGATTTTTAGATGTGGGGACTAAACAACATTTCCTTTTTAGATTGTTTAACGTTGAGTTTCACGCGTTATTGTTATAATTACGAAATTTTTATTTATATTCGTTGAATATTCAAATTAATAATAAATGTTTTTTTTAGTTAATATGTAAAATTTGACTTCGTAAACTTTAGTCGTAAAGGTTACACATCTAATTAATTAATCATGGATATTTACCCATCATATAAATGCCGCTTTTTATAGTGGATTGAGTTTGCAAACTTTCACTTTATAATGAATAATTCATTATAGTGAATTTCTTAGGATCTTACCTCTACACTATAAAGAGAGTGACTGTAAACAAAATGATACCATATATCGATATTGCTAGCATATCCATATTTTGATAGGTGATTGCTGTCCCAAATTTGATTTCGGTCTCTGTAAGCTTTTCCGGCATATTTCATTATTTGTTGCTGTACCAAAAATGCAAATTGGCACAAGTGTGCTGGTTCACGCCGAAAAAGGATAAATACTACGGATTTGTTTTAGATAGATTCAGAATTCGTATCATGGTCTATAATATGTATGTCTTTATGCAAAAATATTATGGTCCCATTATCTCGAACAATTCTTGTATTTTGCAATTTTACCAACTACATGTATATCTATAAAAAATTTATTTTTACAGAAAAAAGATAGTGCATCTTTGCTATGCAAATGGTTCAATATATTATTCGCAGACCAGATTTCTTGAAAACACCAGAGTATCCTCAAGGACTCGAACTTGACATTTACTATCCGCAGTATGTATTTGCCATAGAGATACAAGGTAAACAACATGAGCAACACGTAAAATGCTTCCACAAAAATGATGAAGACTTTGAGAAGCAATTGATGTGTGATCAGTTCAAGAAGGAGCTCGGCGATAAGAATTGGATCATTCTTATGAGATATGGTATTGAGATCCGCATATAGTTATTCCGAAGCTTGATTTGGGACTTATTGACTAGCAAAGTTGAAAAAATATAATATCAGAGTCTAATGCTATTAAGTAACAAACAATCTATGAGTACAATGCGTACTATTTTATTTAACTTTTGATTTCAATTATTCTGATGCTTTTTATTGGTTTGCTAATAGAAATAAGAACAAATTGTGTATTATAAACTTTTCATCCTTTCTCGTGAAATCACATGACAATCATTAACACAAATCAAACTTCTACCACACTCATCTATTTTATCGTGAAGAAATTTTTTCGATTCATTTTTTTTGTATCTTCAATTAAGAGTCTATTTTTTATTGACGTAACTACCCATGATGAAAAAATGTACGGTGCATGTGATCTGAAATAGGTCCATTAAATGTCCGATTAATATTAGATATCAAGTATTAGGGTTAGGGTTAGAACTGAGGTCAAGGTTATATATCGAATTGTCTTCCCGACATTTTTTTTGATAGTGCGCCAAGCTAGATTTAGACATCTGTTTTGGTTGCGCAGAATTTTTGCGCATCCTTATTGGCTGGATTTGTTTATCATCACATGCATCGTACATTTTTTTCGCCATGCCTAGGGTTCTTCGTAACATATGACGTGACATGTTTCAAATTTATATATGACGATATATCTCTATGATGATATATCTATGAACCTCATAAACTTAACCACTGACATCATGGTAGTTTGTTGCGTTTTAGGTGATCCTACTGATGAGAACTTTGTGGTTGATATTATCGAAGAAATCAAAACTTTTCGCATCTCAAGGAAGCTATCTGGAAGAAAATAAGAATAACTTTGTTCATTTTGACGCTAATAAGCTGACTCTATGGAAGGTTGATATTCCTATCCTCACTGAAAACGATAAACTGAAAATACTTAATGACAACACTGAGTCTTCCCAAAAAATTGATATTGAACAATATCTCGGAGGTAAAATTCTGAACTGACTGTTAAAGTTGAAGATTGCTTACAAAAACACAACGATGAATACATCAATATAATCGTATAACTGCCAACTACCATTGGTAAGTGCTCCCAACGTTTTAACTCTCAAACAAAGAAATTTGCAGTTATCTCATTCTTTATTCGATTAAGAAAAAGAAAACTAGGAGATTCAGACGAAGAAAACAGAAATCGAGGCAAAAGGAAAGAGTATCCTCCAGAATCAAAAGAGGGTCGTGACAGTCTTCTTGTTATTTCAGGTGAAAGACTGAATATGATCACTAAATTTGTGGAAAAGAACCGTGTTGTCTTTTGTGCAGTCCTCCATCATAAGGCAAGATTACTCTCGGTCAGACGCACCGAGACTATTTCATTGAATACAACCATGCTAGTATACATTAGTCTTCTTCAGTGTTGTAACGGGACAGCTTGGACATGCCTTTGGACATTTTTGACAAAAAAAATCAAATTTATATAATTTTATTTTTTTAATAGTACAAGAGTTTTGGACATTTGGACAGTCGAAAAAGTGCTTGGACATCCAAAATGTACAACACTGGTCTTGCTGGTATAGGTGATAAAGAACAAGTAGATGAGAAACTTTTTGGAAGAATGAGGTTGTACCCGGACAAAAATCAGTGACAGCACAAAGACCATTTATGTTTTCATCGATGAATACAGATTATCTATAGTAACTACGCTTTATACTTTTGGAGTAAAGTGAAGGCACTTACATCAAGCGAGAGCAACAAAAATATTCATATTCTTCTTCTCGGCGCATACAATCCAACACTTGCGAATGAGGTGACACCCGTGAAATTTAGTAACAGTGATACTCTTAGTTTGAAAGCCCTACTTCTAACAAAGGAAGAGCTCAATGTTCAACATTCTTGAGGCTATTAGGGATGCGATCTTTCGTCTCACTAGTGGACATCCTGGTTTGTTCGATTCATTTTGGATTTGTTATACACTCGTTACAAGTATGGAGCTTTAACAGTGGAAATGATGCGGTATCTTGTTTTATCAAATCCACGAAGTAATATAATAATAGGTTCACATGCTTTTTACTGGATCGATAACTGGAATCCAATCACAGAAGAAGCTGACTTTATTCACAATAAGCTACTTATCAGTCGAGTTAGAAGTTTCTTTCCTGACTCAGATCCTATTGCCAAGAATTTTGTTAGGACAAGTCTCTTCGCAGTGGATTCTGGACAAATACGATTCACCGCTCCCATCATGCGAATTGTTCTGAGCCACCACCTATTCACCACCTCTTGTGTGAAATCATCTACATATACAACAAACTTTGGTGAGTTTTTGACTCGAACCATTGAGCGCTTTAACCCATTTAGGTTGTCTGAATCATTTGGAAGAGGATCTGATGCTAATTCACATTTATTTGAAAGAAGTTGTCAAATGGAATGGTATCGAACTGCTACAACTGTAGTTCCAGTGGGTACATCAATAAGCACTGATGTTAGTCCTGTATTTGGATCAGATAGATTTCTATATTTTTATGTTAATGGAGAACTTTGCTGGGAAATTGAGCTAACACGCGAGGGTGATCGTTTGAAGGAGCATGCAGAACGATTAGAACAAGATGGCGAGTATGCCGACATTCCATTGAAAGATTGGGCCATCATTGACTTCCGATATCATACAAAACCAGTAAGGGATTTAAAATCAAACTTCTGGTACATAGATAATTAACATGTTAATATCATACGTAGTGAGCATCCTGACAAAGTCCTTAATTTGTATGGTGAAAATGAGTAACCGAGTGTAACATTTCAATTCATTTCTACTTGCTTTATTTGTTATCCGTCAATAAATAATTACACCCGCCCGTCATATTTCTAACTACCCATTTATCACCGCCCACACCCATATATTGCACCCACCAAATATAATCCGTGAAATTCACCCATACATAACTCACGAAATGTTTGTAAAAATCAAAGAAAAATTGTATTAGGTTGCTTTTCTGAATGCAGGAAAAATCGGTAGTAATTTTATTGTTTTTGTATTTGGGGATATCTCACGTACAGAAATATTCGATAATTTTGGCAATGTGTAGCATATATGTACATATATCGGTATGAGCTATTGTACTCGTCAATTCAAGAGTTGTTGAAACTAATGAATTAACAAAGTAACAACAGTGAAAGAACAAAGACTAATGATTTATAATTAATGGGGTTCACTAAAGATTCTAAAGGTCTCCTGTGGTAGCTTGTACACAAACTAACTTAATATCAAGATTAAAATAGGGGCAAATGTGATAGTTAAATAAAAGGATAAGATAAACTACATAACTATTAAAGAAAATAATAGGACTTATTGAAACTGCCTAATGAAATAAAATAATAATTGGACTTATTGAGACTGCCAATAAAGAAAATAAATAAAATAACTATATCAATCTAAAGATAAAATAAACAGAACTTGTTGACATGGCCTAAAAAGAATAAAACTAAAATAAACAAAAATACTAAAATCAACAGCTTATTTAGAGTGATGGAGCATCTATTACTTGTAGTCAAGATTTGGAGATGATCACAAAAGTAATAGTGTATTCACAATTATTTATTACAAGAACTTTGTTATTTTTATTAAATCAGAGCATGAGAGTTTCTAGTGATGAGAAACTCATTTTTATATATTTTCAACAGTTTTTACAATTGACATAATTAAGAATTATATCACTATTTACAATAATACTAAACAATACTAAAGAAGAATAAAGACTGACAAATAAATAAAATATTATATATGATAATAGAAAGAAATGCAAGATAAAAATTTTAAAGAAAATAAGATAAATTATAAGAAAATGCAATATTAAAAATAGAAATGAAAATAGTAATGAAAATAAAAATGAAAATAAAAAGTAAAATTAATATAAATGTGATTGAATAAATATAATAAAATTTGAATTAAAAATGTTTTTGTTGAAAATAAAATATAAAATATATTAATAACAAAAGAATTATTTGAAAAAATAAAAAATACAAATATAAAATAAAGAATAAATGAAAATGAAAGTTAAATATGCAAGAATATAATTTGTTAATAATTATTTTATTAATTACTAATTAAAAAATAAATATTATTCACAAATTTTATACTAAATGTAATTATATAATAAAATACAAAATGAAAATAAAAGATCAAATTAATATAAATATTATTGAATAAAATTATAATATATTATAATTTATAATAATATAAAAATTATAAAATATTTATTGAGAATAATAATACTAGTTTTGCTGATTTGTTTAATAATATATAGCACAAAAAAGAAAAAATATTTATTTATATTTTAATTAATATTTATATATAAAAATATATTTTATAATAACTTTGTATAATATAAATATATTTTGTATATATATATATATATATCAATATTGATATTAACAAGTATTTATTAGATTATTTTGAATAAATTTGTCTTACAAAACAAAAAAAATAATTATCCACAAAAATTATTGCTTTTATATTTTTTAAAATACTATAATATATTTACTTAATGAAAGATTGAAAAGAAAAATAATAAGATATAATTATAGATATTTTGTATTAAATATTAATATGATCTAATAATATAATTCAAAATTTATAAACAATTAAAAAATCATATTCATATTTTATTTTTACTATTTTTATCTCATAATTTGCTATCAGAATTTCTTATTTTTTCTTTAATAATATAGTTAAAATTTATATATTACTTGTAAATTTAAAAAATAATTAATAAGATTTCCAGTAAAAATATATTAATTATAATTTCTAAAAGCAAATTTTCAAAGATTAATATATATTATTGATTAAAAATAAAAAACAAATATTTTACAGAGAGATTTAGATTTTAAAAAGAATATTTGAAAAAATAATTTTAAAGATTTATATTTTAAAATTACTAAAAAAATGAATTTACAAAAAAACTAAATATTAAAAATATTAAAAATATAATATTTTATAAAGAGAATTAATTAAGAAATATTAAAAATAGATTTTTTTATAAAAGCACCAAAAATATTATTTTAATTAAAAAATATTTTTTAATAAAAGTTATTAAACAAAATTAAATAATTTATAATTAAAGTATATTCTTTAAAGATTTTAAAGATCTTTTATATTAATTTTTGTAAAAATTATAATTAATAAAATAAAAATAAAAAAAATATTCAAAAAATATAACAAAATTAATTTAAACTAACAAAATTAAAATATAACTTATTTTAAAATAGAGATATTTCTATTATAAGATTTAAAAATATATGATAAAATTCTTGCTATAATTATTATAAATATTTAATTTATATAAAACAAGTATTACAAATAAATAATTTTTATAAATTCAATTTTTTATAAATCTATAATATAAATTATATTAGCTTTTTATAAAATTTGATAATCCATTATAAAAATTTTAGTATTTATATATTAATATCATAAAGAAAACCAGCTAAAAATTTGTATTTCACAATTTGCTACTTTAATATAATTTTATTGTGAAGTACTTAATAAAATATAGGCTGATAAAGCTCACTTATTTGAAATTATACTATTATTTGAATATTTTATTTATGTTTGAGAAGAATATAATAATTAATCTCTTGCTGAATATATAATTATACAACTTGAAAAATATTAAAATAATTATTATTATTATTAGTATTAGTTTTATCTTCAAAGTTTTATTTTACTAAATTTAATCCAGATTTAGAAATGCTAAATTTAATTTTTTTGAATTTATAACTCATATATTATTAAAAATATAATAAATCAAATTTTTTGTTAAATTTGAGATTTATTAAGTTAAAATGATATTATATAATAATAAAATATATAAGCTATTTGATAATAAAATTCTATTATACTAATATTATTATTTTATACTATATTAAGAATTAAACTTTATTATTTAGTATATTATTATTGTAATAACATAAGTTTCTCTAATTCGATAATCTTTATTTGATTATACGAAATTCTCTTTTTTAATTTTTACCATTTATCACCTGATTATTATTATTTTTATCCAATTATATAATTATTTCACTTTTATTTTATTATTCTAAATTCTATATTTATATCCTAAATAACATATTTATTCCCTTTTTCTTATTTCAATATATTTTTATCATCCTAAATCTGAGATTTATAATTTCGATCACAAATATCCTATATTAATATTAATATTTCATATATATAACTATATTTAGTAATACTGTATAGATTAATTAATTAATATATTTATAGATCTCTTCTTTTATATTTCATTTCTTCTTTTATATTTCATTTCTTCTTTTATATTTCATTTCTTCTTTTATATTTCATTTCTTCTTTTATATTTATGTTATATGAAAATCTTAATTTCAAAATCTTGATTTTAAAATCTTGATTTTAAAATCTTAATCTGAAAACCTTAATCTGAGATTACAAAATATATATATTAGATAGTATTAATTAGTAATACTATAGTAATTTTTATATTTGAAAACATATATAAAAGGACCTGCTCTCTCAAATTAAAATAAACAGTTTTAGTTGACATGATGATTAGTCACAGATTGAATTATTTGGAAAATATAATTAAAATGCTTATTATTATAATAATAGTGCTACGGTTACTTTAAATGAAGGGTTTCTTCACTATTAGTAAAAGAGTCATATGAGTTGGGAGAGAGGAATA